CAATGCTTTCGCGATACAGTATTTCCCCGCAGAGGGCCTAGATGGACCAGGTTCTGAAGCAGAGTGGTATTAATAACAATAACCTAACTACGACACCATGGCAGACGAAGAGCTCGTCGACGCGTTCCCACTCCACACGGCGGCTCGTGAGAACCGTGAGCTCGCCGTCCGCTCCCTCATCCGATCCGATCCTTCGCTGATCTCGAAACGAGACGACGATGGCCGCACGCCGCTATTCTGGGCTGTTAGCGCCGGTAATGCCGACATCGTGCAGGCACTACTGACAGCTGCGACAGGGTCTGACGGGCAGTTGAAGCGAATTGATATTGACGATCCTGACGAGGCTGGTGAGTCCTATAAAATTAGGATGCTTTAATTCTGCTAAATCTAACATTGCGACTTGATGTTATATAGGCTGGACAGTCACTCACATCGCAGCTTCTGTAGGATCGCTGCAGATCCTAGATATGCTTTTACCTTACAATGCCGATCTCTCTAAACAAACCTCAGCGGGTCAAACTCCACTGCACTATGCAGTTTCGCGCGTCCGATATGACGTCGCAGTGAGGCTAATCGAGATATATCCTGCCGCAGTGCGAATTAGGGACCGGCAAAATCAAGTGCCCTTACATCGGGCAGCCGCGATTGGGAATATCCCGTTGATTAATTTGTTGATTAAGAACAAGTCTCCGCTGAATACCGTGGATCGGTCCGGTTGGACTCCGTTGTTTCATGCCGCGGCTGAGGGTCATGGAGATGCGGCATTGGCACTGATTCGTGTCGGTGCGGACACAGAGAAACTTGATCCTGACGGAAACACATTCTTGAAAGTATGCCCGGACGATAAGGTGAAAAAATGGATTCAGGATATGGCTGCGCGGGAGGGACAGGGGTTGTAGGTTAGCCGGATCAATCAAAGCAAAAAACCGTATGCATTTAGTTGAGGTCGGAATCGCATTCGTGAGACAAACAGATTGTATATAGGATTCGTAAATTATGGGGGGGGGGGGGGGGGGGGGACCAAAAAAAAAAAAAAAAAAAAAAAAAAAAAAAAAAAAAAAAAAAAAAAAAAAAACACCAAAAAAAAAAAAAAAACAAAAAAAAAAAAAAAAAATA